GGGGTGGAAAATGGCGTGTCTAGCAGACATCGTGGTAATTGAATGCGGGGATAATTTTAAAGCTCCTTCGTGCGAATGTACAGTCGCCAATGGGGAAATTAAAAGCAAGGGCTTGACCCTTGCGACCTTCACAATACGGGTGAGCCTTCGCATCGCGTCAAATAAAAGATGTTTTGGTTAATGTTTGGCCCTTGTGACTTTCACAATACGTGGGAGCCTTCACATCGCGTCAAAACAAAACATCGCCTCAAACAAAAGATGTTTCTTTAAAAGCTTGGCCCTTGTGACCTTCACAATACGGGTGACCCCTCGCATCGCGTCAAAATAAAACATCGCGTCAAACAGAACATGTTTTCTTTAATTCTTTAATTCTTCCTTGTGACCTTCACAATATGGGTGACCCCTTGCATCGCGTCAAAGCAAAACATCAAGTCATATAAAACATGTTTTCTTTAATGTTTGGCCCTTGTGACCTTCACAATATGGGTGAGCCTTTACATCGCGTCAAACAAAACATGTTTTCATTAATATTTGGCCCTTGTGACCTTCAAAATACAGGTGACCCCTCGCATTGCGTCAAACAAAATATCAAATGACAAAATACAAATGTTTTCTTCAATGTTCAGCCCTTGTGACCTTCACGACCTTCACAACACTCAATACCGCCTTTAACCTTTCGTGTGATGGACTGAGAGAAAAAATTAGTTCTCAGATCAAATGATTGTCGTACAATAGATTACATTGTTTCCGGCGAACAGTTCGAATTCTTCTAGAAATGTTTCCGATAATCACGACAAAAATTTAATTTTTGCGTAAGATATTAAATTTCCTTCTATCAAGTTAATCTCCCTCACGTAAATCTGTCCCACTCCATCAGATATTCTCACGTGGAACATACAGTTGTTCGGCAGAGCTAATTTTTTCTCTCAGTCTGCCATCATAATCCAATTTTCATAATAAAAAAATCCTAAATTTTCGCCTCTTGGTGATCGATCAGCGATACATTCGCAGGGTAATTTCCACCCTTTCTCCGCTTTTTTATGTGAAATAAAAAAAACTCTTGGCTCTTATCGAGGCTGAGAACGGAAACGATGTCATCATGAATCACGGTGGGTACTCGTGGATTTCTATGGAAACACCTAGTCCACGAAATTCACATATTCCACAGCAATAAATGGCAATCTTCCATCTTGCCCGGGCTTTTTGAGATAAATACGCGTATCAGAATACATTTCTATATTCTTGCGAAGGGTGAGGGCCATGTAATGGACGCTGCGATCCAAGGAGCTGAATTTTTCTGGCAGACATATTCTTCGGGGGAATGGAATAAAGCAGAAAGGAGCATTGTTCATCTTATCTGACACTTGTCCATTCTCCAGTTTGTATTTTCTCATGAAAATTCGGTCCAATGACGGGGAAAATTAATCACTGAATCAAGCGGATTCTCTCAGTAGTAATGGAGCATTTGTTATCTCTATAAATCTCTTTCTTTTATTCACGTCTAGCTTCGATCCGTCTTGATTTCAACAAACATAAATTCAAGGAGAAATACTGGCACATCGCGTCAATAACATCAATGCTATTCCCCGTGAAATATTGATTTTCAAGTCGTAAATTGTCCGGTGACAGGTGAACAGAGTAGATTAAATTTGATCGTCTATCTGAATATGAGAATTTTTAACGAAATTATTGATGATTGCGATTTTTAGTCGATCAATTATTGTGGATCAATCAATCCTTCTTTCTTTTTACTCAACAGATATAATAATGAAGAGTAAATGGGGATGACTGACTCCATTGATTCGTTATTATTTTCTCATTTGGTTTCATTTATTTATTCATTTATGTTGGTTGTGAGT